TTAGGAAGCAGACTGAAAGGTCTGAGCTTAGTCTGCAACAGCCAACCTTGAAGACACAGCTTGGGTCTGGAGTTCAGATAGCTTTCTTGTTCTCTTGTTCATGAAGTGAGAACTTCGAAATTGCTCCAGTTCAACTTTATGCTGAGTGCACAGCCTGTGACTTAATGCAGTTGGTAAAATTGCCTGTTCATCCAGGAAGCAGAAAGACTGTGTATCATAATGTGCCTGTTCAGAAGGGTCTTTTGACTTCGGGTGTCCTTTCTGCTTCACAAAGTAATCTGAAGCTATTTAGGATAAAAATAGGAGACTATTGCTTCAAATTGTTAACAGATCCTGTTTCTGTTCTTGTCTGTAGATGTGCTGCCCTTGATTTGAATGGGTCAGAGATGGGCCATTATATTTTCAGCATGGGTGATTCCTCTTACTTTGAACTACAATAGAGAAAACCAGGTTTTATGAAGCATGGCAATACCCAACTTATTTCTGACCACACTCCTTATTCACAGATATTTGGCTTTGTATGTGGAAAACATATTTTCACGTGTTAAATTTATTTCTGTTAGGCAGAGCTAGTTTGTCAGGTCTCTGACATTCATATGAGTGAAGAGAAACACAAATTACCAGCATAGCAAGGAAACTGCACCTCAAGAGCAAAATGTTGTGATCATGCTCTTCTTTCATCATTGAGGCCTGTAATGTTATACACTGATTCGGTTCATTGCAATTTTCTGTAGTACGTGTGAACAAGCATTACCTGTTGTGTCCTCATCTGCCTGATGATGTGGCAGATTGCATGTGAAATGCAAAAATCGTATCTGATTTGACAAGGTGATTCAGTTCAAGGAAAATTAGCCAAGAACTAATTCTCAGAATTCTTTACTTGGAAAATGACAGGAAGGATGGCTGGGTGTTTGTAATGGGAATTCTTATGCCAGGTTATCATTAAACCAAAGACTGTGAATATCAATGTGCATTTTACAATCATGACTGCCTGTTAACCCGTTAGCATGATGTGTCTGACAAATGCCTTTTCCTGAAAACTGGCACAGATTACACAAGCAAGAAACAGTTAACAGACAGTTAACAGCTTTTCACCATAAGCAACATGAAAAGATAATGTTGCACAGGCTCTGGTCTTCCCTGTGACCTAAACTCCGCAAATCCAATTTTCTCCCTTGTTAGACTCTAGTTACCGCTGGAGAAATCCACAAAACCAGTGCACAGATCTGTGTCCCCTCCTTTGCCTTTACTCTGTGGAAGTCCATGGAATAAGAACTGTTCTTTGTTACAATGACCTTTGCTCAAGGACTGTCTCTCTCATATGAACTATGTTCTTGCTTACACTTTTTGCCACTGTCGATTTTTAGGCCTTTTAATATTCTTTTCAGCAGGCTCAAATGAAGCGTTGTCAACAAGCGCTCCTACAGTGCTTCTGTTATCTCCGACGAGTAATACCAATGTTACCATTCCACGTAAGTGCCTTTCTAGAGGAGACTGTTTTAAATGGGGACACAATCATCGCTGACACTGATTGATGCCATACCCATGAAAGTTTAAGGCTCAGTCACATGCTTAAGCTATTACTGCTTAGCAAGCTATTGTATGTCAGCAGGTCGTCCTATCTGACCCTACGCATTCTTAGCACACAGTAGAAGCAAAGTCAGTGCACCCACAACTATTAACCCTAGTTCAGCTGATACATCTTTGTTTGTTAAGCTGTGATAAATTGACCGTTAGACCCTTTTAACTTCCCTATATTTTAGTTTTATTTTAAAAGCCTTACAGTTCCAGATATGAGGAAAAGGAAAAAAAGAAACATTGAGGCTATGTATATACAGTGCTACAAAATTAGAGTAATATGGTTATTTGCCTTGAACCGGTAGGTGTTCCAGATGGTTGCAAGACTCCCGAGTAACTTTTTACCATCAAATGAATCTTCTATATCCTTGAATAGAAGGTAGCAAGAGTGTATTCCGCAAGTCCTAGGAAAATTTTTAAAGTATATGCTGAAAGACCCCTGACAAAAATACTGAGCCAGACTCAGTGTTCCCATTTTCTTGTATCCATCACCCTTAGGGCATGGGAATCTCATTGGATTATACCAACATTATACCGTTATTATTTCTTTTAAAGCAGTTGAATTGTACAGAAGGAGGACTGGACTGATGCAGTCCCAGAAGAGCAAGTAGATCAGAATTGGTAGATCGGATTAGAGAAGTATTAACAAGATACTCACCAAAACTATATTGATTTTGGCCAAATGGGGTGAACAGGAGACTGATAGACATGTGGTAGAAATAACAGCAATGGTTCCCCATGATGCTTAAAAAGCAGACCTTAAGCACTCAATATTCTTCATGAGCCCAAATGTTAGTGAGACTTCGTTTGTCCTGTTAGGATTTGTTAGTTACCAAGGCCTGTTCCTGCAAGCAGTAACTACTCTCCAGAGCTGACTGCAGTGCAGTAAGGTGCTCAGTTCCAAGCAGGATGGACAGGCAAAGCTCCTTCTGACAGCTGAGCTATTGCTGCATTTGAACGTTGCTAGAACTGGAACAAGGTGTATTTCAGCATGTTGAGTTTTGACAATTTGCACTGGAGATTGAATTACTACTGGAGAAAAGGCCATACCTCTCCCTGGGACCTCTATGGATGTGACAACATCTGATTTCTTTGAGATGGTGGCTGTGCGTACCAGCCAGCCTGGGGACACAGCACAGCCCTTCCCCCTGCTCTCTGCCATGTGCCAGACAGAGCTAGTCAGGGCCCCGCAAACTTGGTGTGTGAAGCTGCAGAGTAAGAGAGTTCACGCAACTACACAGTGACTGTGTGAACCACGAGCCTCGTGCCAAGCAGGAGGGAAATGTGTGAAGCTGGTGTTCACTGTGAACCTTGCCCTGACTGAGGCAGAAAAATGGTAAGTCCTGTCCCAAATACTCCTATCCTGAGGAGTTTAAGGCTCCCTTCCCAAGTGGTAGTTTTCCTCAGTAGTAATCCAGAGTTAAACACTTCAAGCGTAGGGTTGCCTGAAGAGCCCCAGTGAGTGTGGGAATGGGAAACACAACCGTGGCTAACCCAAGGGGTGAAAAGAAGGGAAGGGGTGCAAGTAGCCTTCTATGCGAACTGCAGGATGCATCTCCCTTATGTTCTCTTATTACAGTTAGATTCTATAACGTGGACATGAACTTTTCTCTTTTCTACGAAACTGAGAGAACTCCTGATTACTATGATGCAACGAGGCTTGTTAAAAATTGGGTGAGTTACTTTTCAGAAATAAATAAGGATGAGGAAAGAATCAGATGATGAGGACAGCTGGTATAAAATGCAACCTTATGGGACAACACAGAAATACGTGACTGTGTAATAATATGATGGCATTTCATAATTATGTTATCCAGCACATTTTTAACAAGATAAATTCATAAGGAAGGGGAAAGTGTAACTTTTGCAAATATTTCTAGCCTTTTGCACTGGGATTTAGAATTTTGATGACAATTTCAAATTTACAAGCAGCTCTTGTTAACATATCAATATACCAAGTTAATAAAGATGTTACTGTTTTCTTTCCAGTTTAATACCTTATTTTCTGGAGATGAATTTGTCATGACAAATTTCAAAGTCAGGTAAGCCTCTGGCTGTATTGTGATATTACCTCAGTACTGTCCTTTGAGAAAAATTGCAGTCAGGTTCTATATGCTCATTTCGCAAATGCTCAGTCCTGTGACAACGGTGTAAACCAGATCCCCAGATCTATGCAAATGTGATCATCTGGAACATCCACATTTTATTTATCGGATTCACTTCATCTGAAAATATGTATCCTGCCTAATGCATGGCAAGTACCTGCAGCCAAACCGAGAACTCATCTCTGCCCGTAGAATTTGGTTTATACAGGAAAGTTCAGGATGATGAAAGTGAAGACCTTTGCTACTTCTGTGGAGGTGTGAGCAAGGAGTCACATGTGCTGGTATGTTCTGATATGCCATCCTGGCAATTCAGGAAGTGCATCAATTGCAGAAGATGGAAAGTAAGGCAGAGCAACAGTACCTGCAACATTCACGTTAATACTGCTGAACACCTATTTCACAGAAGCACAGAATGGTTGAGGTTGGAAGGGACCTCTGGAGATCATCTAGTCCAACCCCCCTGCTCAAGCAGGGTCACCTAGAGCCTGTTATCCAGGATTGTGTCCAGATGGCTTTTGAACATCTGCAGCGAAGGAGACTCCCCAACCTCTCTGGGCAACCTGTTCCAGTGCTCTGTCACCCTCACAGTCAAGAAGTTTTTCCTCAGATGCAGATGGACCTTCCTGTGTTTCAACCATTGCACCTGAATGCAGAGGAAGTTAGGGGTCACATGCACTCACAAAGTGAAGGTCATAGATGGGCTGTCTGGTTTGTCTAAGTAAGTAAACATTGGCTCTAATCATGACAACATCTAAGGAAAGAATACTGCAGTCCCAAGTCCCTTTTCAGAAGCAATGGTATTTTGCACAAGAACTCGCATGTGGTATCTTTCAGCCTAACCCACCTATATATGTATCTGACCAGAGAGGGATATTTAGCAATTCTTGGACTGATAAAAGTGCCACTTGTACAGACTTAGAGACAGTTGTATCATTTTATGCATATTTTGACTTCCTACCCTCTTCTCTGACTTCCCCAGTTACTGCTTGCTCTATAAATGACAACAATACAATAAAATATTGTACTGTTTACATGAAGTGAATCAGATTCTGAAAACTTTAAGAAAAGAAATGGAATGGGAAATAAAGATTGGCTAACAATTGATTCACCCTTGAATCTTCAGCCCCCGTATAAAAATTATAATGCTTAAATGTCTCCAAGGCGTTAACAGATGAAACATTTTTTTAAAGTGTGAGGCAGTGTTGCTCATCAGAAGAACAGGAAACATCGTACAGACAATTCGTACACTGATAGAGTCTTTTATTGTTGAATAATTGATCTTTTAATGTAAGATGTTGTAGTGAGATGGAATACACTTAGAATATGCTTTCAAAGGTACTTTGCATCCCTCCTGCTCCTGCTGGGCTGGATGGGACTAGCTGGACCGTATTAGAGATACCATGGTCCTGTGACAAGGGGAGCAAGATGGGAGTTGTAACGCCACTGTCATGGGTCCTGTTCTGGAAGAAGAGGCTTCTATCTGGCCACCAATCTGTTACAGCACTTGTTTTTGGAGATTTATGTAGATATATATGTGCTGAATTCATGATGACTTCTCTGCTGCAAGGTCTGCCCCATAGTGGTCACAAGACATTTTCTTTAGGTGATAATGAAATGTGACATGGTCTATTTATATGCTTATTATGAAATAATTAATCTAGTCTGTTTTTCTTGCAGCGGTAATTCTCAACAAAGGACTGTCCATAGGAGGACTCGTGTATGTAATTTATTATTTTCTGATTTTAAAACTTACTTTTTCTTATCTTTGCATAGGGGATATAATAGTTCTGGTTGCATCTCAGGAACTCTGAGATGCTGTAGTTTTGAGTCATTTTGTGATCAAGGAATGAGACCAAGTTTGACTGTAGCCGACCTGGCTGGCTGGTCTGGTAGTTTGTGGAGAAAGAAAGATTCTCGTACCAAATTAACTCATAAATGAATTCAAAGTCTCTGGAGAAAGCCCTTTGGATCTCATGCTCCTGACTTTTGGTTTTCATTTGAAGGCAAAGGCTCTGTGTGCTTACAGAGGAGTTGACTGGGGGGAGGGCTGGAGAAACCAGGTTTGTAGCTGAGTTCTCCAGATATGTTGTTTGGAGGTACGCACAGAAGACCACAGAACAGAGTAGCAGCTGTCCAGCGTTGCTGAATTATTTGCATGCCAAAGACCATGGCTAGCAGAGGTCCATCAGCTGCAAATGCTTTACAAAGCTGTGAAAGTTAATGATTTTTCAGTTTAGCGTCTGCATTGGAAAGTACACACCCATACAAGGAAAAGCGTCCCTCCCCACAACAATCTCCCAGCTGATCTTTGGCATCTATCAGATTGAATGACAATATTCCAAGGTAGTAGTGGGGTGGGAGGGTTTCTCCTTAAAATAGAAAAACAAAAACTGGTTTTCATTAGATGTGACATATTCTACTTGACTGAACAGTGATTTTCTTCTTTTTAAGATACTCAAGTAAAGCAAAGGAAAAGAGAGAACAGATTTGTAAAACTGCTGCAGTAAAATACTGATTTTAGCTGGTCTTTTTTAGCCACGTGGGAGATTGGAGTTTAGTTCTTCTATCTGCTGATGTTACTGGGTTCTGTAGAAATTATTACATATCGACCTTCAATCTGGTGGGTCTACCCCCATGTAAATAATTGGGCTGGAGAGTCACTGAGTCTCAATAGATATTGAAATGTTCTGTGTAAGACAGAGGAATACCAGATGTGCCGGGCACTATTTGCAAGAAGTCCACTTCGGAATAGCGTGCTGGTGAACATACTCGCTGAGCAACATTAGATCTACTCTGCTGTCGGCATGACTCAGCATCAACGTGCTATGTTTTATCTTGACTTAACTTACCTCTGGAAGTACTGTGAAACAAAGGCTACTCTAGGTGGTCAAGTCCTAATAGTATTTAGAGCAATAAGCTGTATTTTAATGAGCATATTGAGCTTCTGTTGTTTGCTTTCCTTAAAATCCAATTACCTTCGAGATATTTGATTCTAACCAGCTTCTAACTTTTTGTGTCCTGTTACGTGAACTGAAGATGAAGATAAAGCAGCAGTCACAAAGGTAGGACCCATGGTTATGAACTGGATTCTCATAGTTCATATTGATTGATCAGATTGATTGCCCTGCTAGCAGCCTGCTCATAAATCAGCTGAGGAGGGATTATGCCCCTCCTTGATTGTTTTTGTTTCGGGGTAATTGGGGAGCCTTTAGCTGTCTAAATAGGAAAGCGCATGAGGAATCAGACCCACAGTAATGCCTCACTCAAGGAAACTTATTTGAGTATCTGAGGTTTCCCATTTGTACCCCATCTCTTGGGAACCTCAAAATGCTACCATGACGAGCCAGGAGGCTTTGTGCCGCCCCATAAGAGCTGGCTGTGAGCAATGTCCTGCACTGGAGCTAGAACAGGGAGTGGGAGAGTGTATTGCTTGAGAGTGACCAACTAGTCTGCCAGGATGAATCCTGCACCTCTTCTGAAGGAAATCCTGATTGACTTCTGACTGTGCAATCCCCTGAGCCAGAAAAGGAAGAGGAGCTTCACCTTCAGAGGGATGTTAATGCTTTACCCCAAAAGCCATACTGAGCGGGCAACAACTACGTAAAAACATGAGGGAGTTGGAACTACTTGAAACATCCCGGTCCTGACGAAGTCTCCTGCATCACCCCTCAGTTAAATTAGAGGTCCATTAAGGTGATCCACCCACAACTGAGAGGGGGTTTCTTGCTTGTTCCATCTGCCATATCTGAAGCCACTTAAAGAGAGATGCAGCCTTTCCAAACCTCCTTAGGTCAACAAACATAGCTGTCCAAGAGATTAGCTCTTTTGAGGAGAAAAATCCGGAAGCCCGTGGAGACACTGAAAGACAGTTAGCTAAATCTTTGTTTTCCAGGGAGCCTTGGAGTCTGCCACCTCTCTTTGGACACAGAGGTACTGTAAGTACCTCGTTGTTTTATGAATAGCTCACTCCAAAATTTAAAACATGGTTGAAAAAAGGCTTACTTGTGACAAAGATATTCCTTTGCCAAGACAACAGGATTAGGAAAGTTTTTGAAGTGTTTACCACGAAACAGTAAATAGACTCTTGTACCTGTATTTCCAATAAGTTGCACTTCATTAAGCATTTCCAGTGGTAAGGTATTGGTGCCTATAAAAAGTGGTATTTGCCATAGGATCACACTTATTGTGAACAAAATATATATTTAAATTATGCAATTCAATATAACTTTCTGGGTTACTCCTTAATTTTGTAGTCACTTCAAGTGTTACTAATACTGTGGTCTTGTTTGTTATTATACTTGTAGCTATGTCTGTAAGGCCATTATAAAGGCCACATCGCTTGAAACACAAGAACAGCAGAGTTTCAAGATAAAGCAGCTGTTGAATGCCGCTTATGAGGAAGGATTGTTATCATTATATGTGAAATCTGAAGACGTGACTGTCAAGCCAATAGGTAATACCTAATTAAAATCTCATTGGAAATTAACATGCTTTGTAACTCTGGCTGCAAGCGTTTTATCAAATTCGAACTTTGTGGAGAGATTAGGGCTAGAAAACATCCCTCCGAGTAGCTAGGCTGACCTCATCTGTGCACAAGCTATAGAATGTTATGGAACAACATCAAGGTCAAAAACTTGAGTTCTAGACAAATGGGGGTAGGCTTAAACTTGAATCCAGTACAGAGGCAGGTCTGAGCACCTTTGCAATGCAGGGAAGGTCAGGCTGATACAGCTGCAAGTCCACGAGCCCCTTATTGTCAGTGCCCCAGATCCCGGCTATTGAGAGAGATTTGAGCCAAACACTCCAACCAAACCTGCTGCAGGCATTCTCTTGGATCAAGTCTCAGATTGCAAATGATCTCCTTGTTGGTCTGGATGCAATCCTTATCACTCCTTAAAATACAGAAGTAAGCCAGACATAAAGGAGGGCAGACTGTACGTGAAATTCAGAAATACATTTGATGCCAAAGACTTACAGAAGATCAGCTGTAGAGAACAAAACTACAAGCCTGAGAGAAGAGACATTGTCTGGATAATGAAGGGCAGTCTGAGAGCATGTTCAGTTAGATTAGCGAAGCCAACCATATCTACAGTCATTAAATACAGTTTGTGTTGCTGGGAAAACTGCACTTTTCCTGAGAGCTGACCTTATCAAACAAAAGGGAAACAGGTCTTAAAATAGCAAGCAAAATATGTAGGCAAAATATTTTCTTGCAGCCAGTAAACTTGTAAAATACTCCTATCCAGCCTGCAAAAGAGGTACAGATTACAGCTCAGCCTCAGCA